GATGTTCTTGACTACCGGCTCAATCAGGGTTCGGGGTAGGACTGATCACCAGCCCCTCCCGACTCCTGTTGACACCCAGCAATCCAGATTGCACCTGGCCACTCCCACTCTCAAGCAGTTTGTCACACCTCTCGTCGGGGTCACCCACTCGTCACGCTGCGGCCAGATTGGTTGTGAGAGACAACGGCGACCACCACTAGACTCGAACTATCGCATTCTGGGTCGTCTTCCTATCCTAGCTGTAGCGCCATTCTGGAATAAGGCCATACCTCTTGCAATACCTGATCTTGCCACTAGGGCGTAGAGGTTGGCGACTTCTTTCGTAGTGAGTATCAGGTGCTGGTTTGACATGCACCAAGCCAGTCGGTCCGTGAATTCGTCATAGGTGCCCGATTGTTTGAGCGCCTCGTAAATATGAGATCTCAGTTGAATTCGTAGATTAATCTTCACGGCGTGGTCGGTGGTGGCAGAGATAGCGGTAGCAATGTCGGAAATTATGGCTTGATAGTTCGAACCGACTAAGGTCATCTTAAGCTTCTTTAAAAATTATAGTCGACTTTCTTTACAAGTTTGCGCAGTTGGAAAAAGATGATGAAATTTTTGTTTGATAGTGTTTAAGTGGGGAGACGGCGTCTCTTTTGATCAGTCTCAGAGATCTGTGTAGGTTCAGTAGTGGCGGTCGTCTCCGATATAATCGGTCTTTTTCTGGTATTGTCTGGTATTTCCGTTAGATCTAGATCAGATCTAGATCTTAGATCTGGTTGTGTGCGATCTGGATTTTGTGGTTGTGGTCGAGTTGGTGTGCGGTTGTGTTTTTGTGTGCGATAGTAGTGTAGTGGTGTCCAGATGTGTGCGGAAATTTTTGCGTTAATTTGTGCGTTTGTTTTCGGTCTGTCTTGAGTTTTGTTGGTTCGTCTTGACGGTAAATCGGCAGGGTTAAGTTTCCCTTGAACATAATGGAAGGAAAGTTTACTCAGTTTCATCGTCTGAAGTAGTATCTTCATCTTGCGTGCGTAGAACATGGTTTCGGTATCCGGGTTTATTTTAATTGGCGAAGCCAAGGACTTAGCTAGTAGTGCATTATCGGTATATACTTGCAACTCGGCGGCTGTGGTCTTGGCATAGTCTTTAATCTGAGAGAGGTATCGTTTCGTCAGAATGTAGGCTCCTTGGGCCTCATTCGAGTTAGCGTAGTTGTGCACAGCTGGTAGTGGAATTGAGTTGGTCATCAGCGTATTGTTGCCTTGTTTTAGTACCAGCCCTGCAGCTTGGTTAGACGTATCTAGGTATAGTTTTAACGGAATGTCTTTGAAGGTTTCACCGCGAGGGCTTTGGTGTATATGTTCAGTATGTGGAAAAAGATGACCTTCTCCTCCTTGGCTTCGTCAGCAAGTGCCAGCTGACGAGCCACGCGCGCCCACACAAGAAGAACCCACACAAGGCTCGTCCCACCGAAAA